CTTTATAGTACAAGTACACTACTTCAGTAGATTTCGCTTCATTTAGTTCAGTTTTAGTTTAGGTTTATTCTGTAAAATAAAAAAAAAATGAAATTAATTTTTTTTTTTTTTTTTTTTTTTTTTTTTCGCGTCTTTCTCACTGTCAATCTACCAACTCATTTCTCCATTTTTCTTCAGAAACAATCAGCAATGGCTCTCAGAACCCTACTAACCAGAAAAATCCTAGCAGATTCTCCGTTGGGGACGCTAAGATTTCGTGGCCTGCAGACTTTCTCGCTGCCCGATCTACCGTATGACTACGGGGCCCTAGAGCCGGCCATTAGCGGCGACATAATGCAGCTGCACCATCAGAAGCACCATCAGACTTACATTACTAATTACAATAAGGCTCTTGAGCAGCTTGATGACGCCGTGGCCAAGGGCGATGCTCCCGCCGTAGTCAAGTTGCAGAGTGCAATCAAGTTCAATGGCGGAGGTTCAACTTACCCCTTATTATCCCTTGTTTAAACTGTTTTTAGGATATAATCGTTGTTCGGGATGAAATTCTCGAATATCCAATTTGAATCTGAATTATCTAATTCATAATCGTGTCTGGTATTTTGGAACTGGTTCATAATTGTACTGGGAAAACCCAATTCAAATTTGAATGGAAAGGAGCGTGTTTGTTTTAAATTTTTGATATATAAGTTTCATTTCTTTTTTAAAATCATAAAGATTAGAGGTAATGTTTGAATTTACCAAGTGAAAATGGATGATGTTTTCAACAAGCAATTTTTGGCACTTACCTTGAAACATGAGTTTTGACCCGAATATACCTTCATTTATAATTTCATTTTCGGACAAATCTTCAATTGTTTGCTACCAAACATTTTGTCCATCAGTAGCCTTTGGGAAAGTAGAGGTAGAGTTGGTGATTCACCTGGTGTCTGTGTTTAGGATTTTCTAGAAACTATTTGGTTTCCCAGTGGAATTTAGTCAAGTTCACAACCACTTGAGAAATATCATAGAGATGATAGGCTTCCATTCCTTAATTGCAAATCCAAGACACTATCTTACTTTATTAAAATTGGCAATAAAATTAAAAAGGATGACATTGAGATTTTTCTTCTGAGCAAATTGTGAACTTAATTAAGTGCAAATATTTATCCATCCTGGAGATATGTTGGTCAGCTTCTAATATTCTGAAAATCGTTTGATTCGTATATCGGTAGAGTTTCTATTCCCAAATAAAGTGTATGTCTTTACAGGAGTAGAAGAGAAACCTGACTAAATATTGCTGTTGGACTTAATTACATTGGAAATCTTAATAGATTTGTTATTGGATTTTATGGGGTAGTGAAGAATATCTCATGTAGCACACCCCCAGTTTATTAAGAAAAAAGCTTAGTTTCATCTTCTTGTAAATAATTGAGATGTTTTTTCTACAGTGTTTGTGTTTTATAGTTGCTTTTGACTAACTTTGTTTTTTCTTGTTCATAGAGTATTTCTTTGTTTTCTTCAACTTTTGCCATTCGTTAGCTTTGTTAATTGAGCAATATAAAGTATATTGTCAAATTAAATTTCTCTTGTTTATAATTTAAAATTTGGACTCTTCAATTTGGTATAAATTTATCATTTCAACCATTGTGGAAGAATACCTACAATTCACGGTCTGAAACAATACTGTGATATGCATATCGCCAACCACCCAACATGCAGAATCCTAGCTATGAAAATGGTTGCTATGGCTAACTTTTAAAATGAATATAGGACACAACAATAGGAAATGTTTCATTTAAAATTGAAAAGAAAGTTTGTTGAAATCAGCAAAAATGCTAGTATGGCAAACAATGTGGAATGGATGTCATTTTCTGCTCTTTTTTTTTTCTGAAATTTATAATATTAGAGGGTTTTTAATTAACTAGGAAAAGTTCAAGCATTAATATACCTAGTAAAAAAATTGGTGATTGTGGCTGTGTTTGAGCTACATATTTTCAAAAAAATACATTCTTAAACAGTGATTTGACATCATTTCAACCACACAATCGTCAATAAAATAATATTACATGCAAATCCAAAACATTTCTTTATTTTTTAACCACACATTTCCCATCAATACACTATTCAAAAATGCATTCTTAGGAATATAATGTAGCTCAAACAAGGGCTGTGTTTTCTTAAGCTTAAGGCTATTACCTTGTGGTTTAAGGTTCTACCTTGCTCTGGCACGGTTGTTTTTTTATTTTAATGGGATTTTAAATTATTATGCATTTTGGTAATTTTTGTCATTTTATCTATGTTGGTCATATGATTTTTGAATGTGTAGATAGATAATGTTATGTTTCTTCATTGGATGAAAAATGGAGAAATCTTAAATGGATTGTATGGATATAAAAATGTTCCCGAAGTTAAAGGAGTTCTACTGAACAATTGTTTGACTAGTTATACTTCATGATGTAGTGTGTTGGGTTGTTAGTTAGCAGGGATGTGTGGCTATCCTAGAATGAAATAATAAGAAACAAGGATATATATCAAAAAGTGGAGGTGACATCTTTTGAGGTAAAATTAAAGAAATGACGAATTAGTTGGTTGGAGCACATGATGTGTAAATCTGAAGAAACTCATGTGACCTAGTAGAACACATTATAAGAGTATGAGCTGCAAATGACCATTAAAAAGATCATCAGCAAATTTGGTTCCGCTATCATCCTCTTCTTCTCTATTAGTTTCTTTCTATTCATTTTTCTCAAGCTCTACTTCTGTCATCCTGTTCTTCTCTATTAGTTTCTTTCCATTTATTTTTCTCATGCTCCACTTCTCCCTTGCCTTTCCCTTTCCCTTTGAGTGATACGTCTCTTTTCACTTGTCTTTCTAGTCTGTTGATAAGTTAAAAATTCATTTGGGACAGTTGTAGGAGGCTGGCACGCTTGCTTCTTGCCTTCTCTTTCTCTATTCAGTTATAGTTACAGAAGGTTAGGGCATGCTTGCTTATTGCCCTATTATCTGTTCTCCAATCCCCAGTTTTCCTAGTTTGCAGGGTTTGGTTGTGTTTACGATACCCAAAACTGATAAAGTCTTTCTAGGTTATAAAAATCGAGCCTAAAAACTGAGGCTAGTGAGCAAAAACCCAAAAATCAAGACAAATGAGTGCATACTTCCGTCATCTTGAGCCGTGGGGTGTGTGCCTCAGTAAGTCGAAGTGGAAGCCTTGAAAAATGGCATTCACGATGAAAGATTTGAGCTGTTTAATGAAAGTTTTACGTAATGCATGCCTCAAGGTATAAGCCTCACCTGCCTTTTAAAACGAAGGTTTTAGCTTAACCATGGTGTCCTTACACTTAATCTGTTAGGTGACCTTGCATTAGCATCAGGACAAAACTTAATAGATTGGGAGTTGCAAAAGTTCCTGTTTTGATTTGGGTGCTTGGATTACAACTTCAGTAGTGGGGAAATGAGTGAGTACTTCTTTTCAATGAAAATATTGGATATTTTTTTAACTATTATAATTATGCGTTTGGGAATGAATCAAGATTTTTCGTGGATTTCTGACGATGATAATTATGCAAATGCCAAAAAGTACTAAGAAAGCTCAAGATCCTGTATGCAAGGGAAGTGAGGACTGCAGTTAAAATAGTTGAAGATGCTGATTAAATTCATTAATAGTCCTCTGTAGTGTTGTTATGTTCGGCTTTTGAATGATTGTGAATCTTGTCATGGCTACCATTCTGAACTACTACAACACACAAGTGCTACTGTAGTATAATTGTTTTAATTTTGTTTCGAATTTGAAAATTTTGGAGTAAAACTCATTCTGTTCTCGAGCAGGTCATGTCAATCACTCAATTTTCTGGAAAAATCTTGCTCCTGTTCGTGTAAGTGTTTAATTTCTGATATATTTATCGCTTAAGTAATTTCAATAGGGAATTGGGACAACATTGCTTTAACACTAAAAATATCTCATTCCAGGAAGGTGGTGGCGAGCCGCCCAAGAGTTCTTTAGGTTGGGCTATTGACAATCACTTTGGTTCTTTAGAAGTTTTAATACAGAAAATGAATGCAGAAGGTGCTGCTTTGCAGGGCTCTGGATGGATTGTAAGTTCTGTTGCTTCTTATGATATGTTGTATTGCGGCACTTTACGTTTCCAGATGATGCCTATTGTCATCACTTAATTTTAATTTGTTTAAATTCACGTTTTTCGGAATTCTTAGTGGCTTGGTCTGGACACAGAGTTGAAGCGCCTGGTGGTTGAAACTACTGCAAATCAGGTAACTGATGTAGAAATTTTGTTGTCTAGTGATTATTAGGATTTTATATAAAAAGTTAAGTGATCAACGTTTCTTCTGTTCATTTTCTTCAGTTTTATTGCCTTCATAATATGGATTATGTGTTTAAAGGTAAATGTGGAAAAGTGTATCACATATTTCATAAGAAGCTATATGAAGATTAGGATATTCAGTTTGTCAGTACTTTTGGCTCCATTTATGTGAAAGTTACTCAGAAAAGCATTTTCAAAGAAAGTTAAAGAAATTAGTAGAAAAAAATTAATTTTCACTAGTTGAAAATTTGTTTGAAATAATTGAAAGGACGGGATAGCTAAGGAGTACGTGTTGGATTGAAACTTCCCAGAACTAGATGTTAACGGATAAAATGAGTCTATTAAGCTTAAACGAGCAATTTGATCCGATTAAGATTCAAAAATGAGCACACAAATTTCAAAATTGATTTACTTAAATGAGCCATCATCTTGTGGAGCATATTAAAGAATAAAATCCCACATTGAATAAAGATGATAAGATAGATCAACTTGTAAGAGTTTCAGTTATTTCTCTTGACAAGGTTGATCTTGTAAGATGGAATCCAAGAGTTTCAGTTACTTCTCTTGGTAAGGTTGACCTTTTAAGATGGAATTCAAGACATGCTGGAAAATACAAGAAAAAAATTTCTTTCAAGCAAGTATTTGTGTGACTTATTCAAATGAAATTCTAAGAAATAAAAAATAAAATTAATTTCCTTTCAAAGAAGGAATACCTTTTTGTTTTTGATTGAACTCCCATGCTGTAAAGATCTATATGGGAGTGGCATTTAGGATCAGATCATATTGATGCATGGTGTGCTGTTCTGTACGATTCATGTAATACTTGCATTGGCTGTTTTGAGGCAGCATAATAAAAGTTGTCTGGTAAAATTGTCCTAATACCTTGAGGAGTCTGCGGTCCTTTTTCCACTCTAAGAAGAGGAAGGGGGTAAAAGTCGAGAAGGCACTAAAAACTTGATATTGTTATATGTTATGTGGTTAAGAGAAGATCTACAATATCCCAAAAAACATGCTGACTATGAGAATTATGGAAATGAGATGAGTTGGCATTCCTTCTTCTGCAAAAATTTCTTCTGTGAACTTATCTTTTAAACCTTTATTAGCTTTGTCATGAGAATCTTCTAGTGGCGTAAGACATCTCTCCCTCCCCTCTTAAAAATTCTTGTTCAGAGGAGAGAGAAAAAACTGTTGAATCCATATTACAACAGACTAGCATCTGGTATTTGCTTCGGTAAATTGATGGGACCACAAGAAGAATGAATTGGCTTCAATATATCAATAACGGAATAAATAGTATTTTAACAAAATTTAAATAGTCAATTCATATTCAAAAGCTTTATTATGTACTATCATAATCTTATAGTTGTGCAAAAATGAGGAGATTCTTGAAGTTCGGAATACTGTTTATCAGAAAATTTTGCTGGAGTATGACAGCTAAAATATTTTCATTTGATGATAGATAAAGAGAACATTTGAAAACAAAGATGAATGATGAAATTAAACGATTATATTTGTGCCCAAATCTCATACATATGTGTGTGTGTGTGTGTCCAGTCAATTGTGCTGTCGAAATGAAGATTTCTTGAACTGTTTGTAATAGATTCATGCTACTGTCTTGTCATGAAGTTCTGAACCTCTCTCGCAGGATCCACTGGTCACTAAAGGACCAAATCTGGTTCCTCTGCTTGGTATTGATGTCTGGGAGCATGCATACTACTTGCAGGTAAATCTTTTCCTCTTGTACGTTTGCTTTGTATTTTAATAGTTCAAATAATGTTACTTGTAATGTTGAGGAGCAAAAGCTCAGATGCATCGACCGAGTTTGTTTTCTAAAATGGAAAAGTCAATAATATTGATGCTAAGTGAATATGAGGAGAGGGATATTGTTTGATAAACTTGAAATATGAAGATTCTTGTTTCTCCTTTTTCTTTCCACCCATTGCATTTTTTGGGTTTGCTTTTTTACCCAGTATTGCTTTCTCGTGGAACATGGAAGACTACCAGTCTTCTATGTATATGTATGTAAGCTGTATCAGTTCTTAGGTATTCTCTGCAAGTTCTCTACAGTAGACATTCTTTGTTCACATGCAGTACAAAAATGTGCGACCTGATTACCTGAAGAACATATGGAAAGTCATGAACTGGAAATACGCAGGCGAGGTGTTTGACAAAGAATGCCCCTGATGTGAGAAACATTGCAATCTCTGAGTACTGTTTTTCAAGCAAACTGGTGATTGAGATCTACGCACGTGCCCAGAAATAAAATTGCACGACAATTTAGCTGCCTATTTTTGAATAGGCTGATTCATGTTATTGTATGTGCAATAATTAAATGAATGCTATTTTTCCGGTTTTCTGACTGCTTTTGTGAAAGCCCCTCAAGCATGAAATGTTGTTGAAGCTACAGAATCAACTGTAAAAGCATTCCCAATTATATTTACCTTGGTAAACAATGGACAATGGAACAAAATAAAAAAAGTCAAATTTTTGTAAAAGTCGTCCCAGTACATCCATGTTCATGGATCCGCACCAGATGTAGAAATTAAATGTTTTATAGATCAATCACGAGTTGCTCTACAATTTGAACTACAAAAGTAGATACCAGATCGAATTTTCTAATAAAAAATGGGTGTCACGGCAACTTGGGATTCTTCTCTGGACCTTGTGTTACAAGAGTTGAGGCATTCCTTGAGCAATGCACTTTGTTCAAGGCATTCCTTGAGCAATGCACTTTGTTCAAGGCATTCCTTGAGCAATACAATTTGTGTGTTGCAACCATAACTGCCAAATTGAGCACCACCTTGCATATCTGAACCAATGGACGATTCATCATTTTTCTGTGTCGAAGAGAGTCGATAATCAATTCTGTTTCCTGTAAGGGCATGAAAGAGTCATGCCTCAACTGCTTGCTGACACTTCTCATTCTCACTCACTGTGCACTGTTGGAGTTCCTTCACAGTCCTAACACAATCTGCCATGGGACAGTTTGTCTTAATTGCATTGGAGGCGATGTGTGATCTGTTAGATGCACGTCCCCCCTCAACCACGCCCTCAGAATTATTCCTCCAGGAGTGGGATATGGACTTGTCAATAGATATATGAAAGAGACTTTTAAACACAAATTAGTTTAAGTTCCAAGTGGTATCCAAGGGAGGAGAACTAAGCTTTGCACGACTCGCTACCTCAGACAGTGACAAAGATTAGATGAAAGGAGAAGCCAGTAAAAACTATATGATTTTACAATCATACAATGTCATCAAGACCTCGTCTAATTTGATGTATCCAAATTGCATTCAGGGTCATTTTCGTCAATCATCTTCTTTAATAACTTTTCGAGTTTTCCTGTGTCATTGCCCGTCCAACCCTATTGCTCAGCCATATTTAGCATTCCTGTAAGAAAGGGTACACTGTGACAAGGTCCTGTTCAAAGAGGCCCGGAAACGATGAGTGAACCTGGAACCTGAAAAGAAGTATCCATCAAACACCCAATGCAATGGATAAAATGCTGTGAGTTCTTCCACCATTATTATATTTTTCTTCCATGCTGCAATCATCAATAACTTTCTTTTTTTCTTGATCAAATTTCTTCCAGTCCAAAATAAGGGAATCATTAATTTACTATCAATTAGAACCAAAGACGATAGTATCTTGAGAAAACACGTTAGCATATTACCAAAACTGTCAACTGATGAACCAACTTCCAGAATATCAGCTTATTCAAAGGGATTCAATCAACGTATCGAATCAATTAGACAAGTATGTTAACTCACTTGAGGCCGGCGATCGCCAGAGGAGTAACCATCGGTGGAGGTCAGGTACAAAAGCCCATCCAATTTCACAGCACCATAGAAGACCTCAAGAAACTCGAATCAATATCGTGTTGTACATTTTTTTTTTTAGTTAGTTTATAATGCGTTGTACATTTTGTGTAACATAATAAAAAGTTTGTTAATTATATTATGACATTATGAAAAGAATTGAATTAAAATTTTGGTTTAAAAACCATGTGGTAAAATTGAGAAAATGAAGTGACTACCTTTCATTAATTATCTTGCCACTCTAGACATTAAGATGACACATGGTATAGTAGAGTTAGGATAAGGTGGCTATCCTACACTTATCATTTTGCCACCTTAAATACTACAAAGCCAAATGGCATGATAAGGTAAAGTGGCAAAATAACGATTATGAAAAAATAAATTAATTGCTAATTTAAATCTAAATTAAAAATGTTGAACCCCAACCTTGAGGGCCCTAAATTACTACTATAAATAGGGAATAGGGTGAGAAAGGGAAATATATACAACAAAACAAAAGTCAAGTAACTTTACAAAGGTAGCACTTTAATTGTCTTGCAACATTGAATGTGAGTAGTTTATACCTACTTTTATTCCAAACATATTTATTTCAATTATGTTTATTGGATTATTTCTTGCTTTTCAAATCAATTATAGATCCAAGATTCTACCCATTGATATTGACATTGGATATTAGTATTGCATTGGATGGTGATTGATATTATTGTTTTTACACCAAATTGGTGTAATTGACTATTGAGCTCATGTATTTTTATTTTCATATTGCGCGCACGGGTAAGAATCAACATCTATAATTGGGGCCCATTGTTTTCCTTACTTATTCAAATTAAAGAAAGATTATGGTATAGATTACTCGTTGAATAAATATATTCACATTCTTTTTTTTTATTGTAGATGATGACGGTCGAATACATTGACTTTACCTCTGGAGAATGGGCGATTTCAGAAGATGACAAATATTGCATGTTTGTCAAAGAAATCCACACGTGGATGACATATCCATATTTTTCGGGCTTTAACCACTTTGTAGGAGTTTGCTACCACATTGACTACTTTGAAGCCACCACTATGATATACTTATTTTCGGATAGTTTTCTTGGAGAAATAATGTGTCCAGGTGGCCTTTGATGTATAAATTTTGGTACAAATCGGTTAGTTATCGTAGTAAAATATGGTGCTTAGGGTGACTTTTGCATAGTGCCACTTTTGGTAGGAGAACTTTTGTAATACAACTTTTGTATATCTGCTAGTCTCTAATATACTTTTTACAATGTAACCAAGTATATACGAAATTTTTTTAATTATCTTATATTTATTGATGCTTGCCTACTCCATACTTTATAAATTGCCAAAAGTTTTCTCTCTTCACGAAGTATACAAAATTTTGAAATCTTTTTATATAAAATTAAATGAGTAAATTGGGATTGTGTCAACCCGATACCATAATTGACACAATCCCAATTTATTCACTTAATTCCATGTAAAAAAATTTCAAAATTTTGTACACTTCGTGAAGAGAGAAAACTTTCGACAATTTGTAGAGTATGGAGCAAGCAAGCATATATAAGATAATTAAAATTTTTCTTATATACTTGGTTACATTGCAAAAAGTATATTAGAGACTAGTAGATATACTAAAGTTGCATTACAAAAGTTCTCCTATCAAAAGTGGCACTATGCAAAAGTCGTCCTAAGAACCATATTTTACTATGATAACTAACCGATTTGTACCAAAATTTATACCTCAAAAGCCAGCCGGACACATTATTTCTCCAGGAAAACTATCCGAAAATAAGTATATCATAGTGGTGGCTTCAAAGTAATCGATGTCGTAGCGGATTCCTACAAAGTGGTTAAAGCCTGAAAAATCTGGATATGTCATCCACGTGTGGATTTCTTTGACAAACATGCAATATTTGCCATCTTCTGAAATCGCCCATTCTCCAGACGTAAAGTCCATGTATTCGACCGTGATCATCTACAATAAAAAAAAATAACGTGAATATATTTATTCAGCGAGTAATCTATACTATAATCTTTCTTTAATTTGAATAAGTAAGGAAAACAATGGCCCCAACTATAGATGTTGATTTTTACCCATGCGCGCAATATGAAAATAAAAATACATGAGCTCAATAGTCAATTACACCAATTCGGTGTAAAAACAGTAATATCAATCACTACCCAATGCAATGTCAATATCAATAGGTAGAATCTTGGATCTATAATTGATTTGAAAAGCAAGAAGTAATCCAATAAAACATAATTAAAATAAATATGTTTGGAATAAAAATAGGTATAGACTACTCACCTTCAATGTTGCAAGACAATTAAAGTGCTACATTTGTAAAGTTACTTGACTTTTGTTTTGTTGTATGCATTTCCCTTTCTCACCCTGTCCCCTATTTATAGTAGTAATTTAGATTTAAATTAGCAATTAATTTATTTTTTCATAATCATTATTTTGCCACACTTTACCTTATCATGCCATTTGGCTTTGTAGTATTTAAGGTGGCAAAATGGTAAGTGTAGGGTAGCCACCTTATCCTAACCCCACCATGCCATGTGTCATCTTAATGTCTAGAGTGGCAAGGTAATTAATGAAAGGTAACCACTTCATTTCCTCAATTTTACCACATGGTTTTTAAACCAAAATTTTAATTCAATTCTTTTCATAAGGTCATAATATAATTAATAAACTTTTTATTATGTTACATAAAATGTACAACGCATTATAAGCTCACTAAAAAAAAAATGTATATCACAACACAAAACTTACTAAAGTCTTGGGATGTCATAGTAGCCCTGTCGAACATCCAGCATTTTGGTGGGTTTGGGGATTTGGGGCTTGACGAGGTGAAATGGGTTAAGGGCATGGCGGGAAAAGTGTACTGACAATCTAATTCTCGATCAACTTCTAGTGAAGTTTTATTTTCATCATCCAACTTCATTTTGTTACGATTTTATTTCGTATGCCTTCAGTTTAGTTAATGTAAACATATTTGACATAGCAAGTTTTTATTGTTAAATCCAACTTTAAGCAAACTCTCGGAAGTTATGTTGGGTTCGATTGAAGAATATGACTCGGCCCAAGGCTGCTGGTGGGATGGGGTTTTGAGATTTGAAATCTTTTAGTAAGGCATTGGTAGTGTTTCGCGCGGGTAGTCGCTAACAATTAAAAAGGGATCAGACGATTGTATAAGGAACAAACCTCTTGAGACAAAGTTCAAAAAAGGGGTGTTTTATTGGCAATGACTTTACAATTGGAACTTAAACAGAATGCATCCAAGGGGTGCAAGTATACGAGTACTGAAAAGAAATGTTTTAAGTCTAAACTAAGGAATTGAAATTACATATTCTCTGTTTGAGAGTGTTTGATTCGGGATTTTTTGCTCTATGTCTTTTCTTCCTTTTATATTTCCTTGATGATCTCTTTGTGATCAACCGTTTAGAAACTGCTTAATTGCTTTATAACTGCCCACTTTCTTCATGGTGGCCAACTTATCGTGGGACTGCCGTCTCTAACTGCTGCCACTACTCTTTGTCGCTCAACCGTCTTCAACTGAACTCCTTGAATCGTGGAACGTGATAAGATTACTCAATAACTGCTTCGATAACTGCA